TTCGATGGCAGGATGCCTCTCGGTTTTGTTTAACCCATTTATGTCTACAGAAAGGATTGAAAAGAGCAACGGAAAACTCAATGTAGACAAGTTGAGGCGTAACCTTCGATGTGCAGCGAAGAAGGCACAGCGAACAAAAGCAACAGTGGAAACACTAGGGGAGACAGAGAAACAGAAGAGCAAGAAACACTAGAAGAAATCTCTGTTGCACCACGCAACCGCTCAAGCGCGCAGTCGAGGGTAGAAGCTTCCGTTGTACCGTATACAAAACCTTTGCGCTATCAAAGAAACGTTTTCCGGGACGTGCAAATATACAGAGTCTTACTTTCCAGCCTCGTTTTACGCGAATATTTCCCGGTATAAGTAATTAATTCTGTTGCAGTAATAGAGCTTAACAAATCTAAATTCGTAAAACGGTGAAACGCGACAGGGACACGTCGAATCGAGGAAACGAGACAACGCGAACAGAGAAAGTGGGAGACAGAGAAGGAAAGACCGCGCGCGCGTCTCCCTCCTGAGATGACATCTCCCCGCGACCTTGGAACGGAGACTGACCTTGACCGTGTCAACCCCCACCACCGGTGCTCTAACACGTCCCGGCTGCACCTCCCACTCTAGAGACCTCCCCACGGGATCCAGAGTTGCGTCGTATTACGCGAATGCGAAGTTGCTCGGTGCTGCTTGCTGCTGCTGCTGCGGCTGCGGGCATCGTTGCTGCATCGACCGGCCGCAGCAGACTGCCAACCCCCCCCCTCGTCCTTCAACCCCTCGACATCCCTCGCAGACCCATCATTCGCTACCTCCCCGCCCGCCTCGCCACACCCTTCCAGAACTCCACGACGGAGCTCCGCTGCCTGCCAGCGGATCGCGTCCCACCGCCCTTTTATCCTATATACCTATATAAACGCGTCTATCCCGCGTTCGACTGGTGAAAGTCGAGAGGAATCGCATAAATAATCACCACGAATATCCCTGTCACCGGCGCGATGAATCATGCGAACGCGAAACCGGAACAACAACGCTCTGGAAACTCGAAACTAAGTTTGCGGACTCGTTGGTCGATCGCTATACCGAGGATCGCACTTAGGGAGCACACAACCTATACCGAAAAGGTTTCAAGCTTGCATCGCTCGTCGAGTATTTCTGTGTCCGAACAATTTCCATAGTTTTACTCGTTTCTAAACGGTAGCCGTTTCGATGACGTACTCAACGACTCGTTCGACGCCTCCCTCGAAACCCTTTTAACTCTGTTAAAATTATGTCTCGAGACTATCGAAGATTAGATAAGTCAACATTATCGTAATATAGAATGTTTTAACGACGCCAAATTCACGAATCCTATCCAGATTTATTTTCATTATTGCGTCACGTTTGAAATTAATTTTTTTCATTCCTTCACGAAAAGTCCCGTCGCCCATTTCTGGGTGACGTGGCGACCAACGCGTTAAAGTGACAACATCTTCGAATGAAGTTTCGAGTCGCGCAGCTTCGATTTACAGCCACGCGCAGCGCTCGCGATCGAGCGCATTTTATTTTCGCGAAATATTCAAACAATACGCACCTCGATGCACGTCAAATTTCAAGAGTGAAATCACGTGCAGTTCGCAGGAAAAAGTGCTTTTACCGTGCAGTCAGCCTCTATACCATCCTCAGAGCTGCCTCCCGACGCCCCTCCGCAGCTTCCCTCCCCCTCCACCGACATTAATTCCTTTCCCTTCCCCGCTAACCGAGATTCGATCTTTTCTCTCGCTCGTTCGCGTTGCTTGGCTCCACTAACACCCATCCGAGTGGAACGCTGCTGTTCCACCGCAACCCTTTCCCCGCTGATAATGTAGGTGAAAATATAGGGTGACGTTGCAATACGTGCTACATTTTTTTTTTATGAATCGCATCTTCGTCACGACAATCGCACTATGGATCGTGTCGTGCTATCGGACGAACAGTTTTGAAATACGACGACTACGTAACGAGGACTCCGTTTCAAGGTCGCTGTTTACTCTTTGAAGTACGAAAAGGGGATGTAGGTTAACAAATACAGGGTGTCCCAAAAATGTTGTAACACCTTGAAAGGGGTGATTCGGGAGGTGATTTGAAACAACTTTGTCTTTAGCGAAAATGTTGTCCGAGGCTTCGTTTTGGAGATATTAACGGAAAACACTGACCAATCAGAGCGCGAGGATGCTGGTGGAGCGACCGCGGGAGCGAAGGCTACGCGCTAGGCGGTCGCGCTCATACGCTACCGCGGCCGCTCCAACGGTCTACGCGCGCTCTGATTGGTCAGTGTTTTTCGTTAATATCTTCTTAACGAAGCCTCGGACAACATTTTCGCTAAGGAAAAAATTGTTTCAAATCACCTCCGGAACCACCTCTTTCAAGGTGTTACAACATTTTTGGGCCACCCTGTATGCTATTTAAGTCAGAGATGGGTAAAACGTTAGGCTTCGAATAAATCTGAAGTTTGCCGATGTGTTTGTCTCGTTTCTTTCTCTGGAAAATGTTCAAAAGAGACAAACATATCGGCGCACTTCAGATTTATTCGACATCTAGGGTTTTTCCCGTCATTGATTCAAGTATACGAAGAACAAACCTCGCCACAGGCCAGATTGGAATATTTCGAACGGAACATCGTCCCGAAGTACGGAAGCAGTTCGATTTCATCACTTTTCGCTGAATGTGTAACAGAACACCGATAAGAGGTTGCGATAAGTAAAACAACGCACATTGTTGACCGACACACGTGGTGACGTGCAAACAAGTAGGACAAAACAAACACGAGCAGCAAATTTTAAATCTGAATTCAAGGCGATGGAAAGAACGAGGCTACATTGTTGCGAATCGCTACCTTTCTAAAATACTGATTTCCGTCTGTGTTCTTTGCCTTTCGAACGATGAAATAAAGATCGAATAAATATTACCACCCACGCCCTTCTATATGCATTGTACGAGTTTGTGTAGTATTATACGATGATATTTATGCGGCATGATAATCCATTACGATTTACTTAGATTTGTCGATACAGTTCTGCAACGGTTGTTTTCCCTCGTGCGAGTTTCATACTTCCCGCGGACGTAGATCAGTTGGTAAACTAACAAGTACGATTTAGAACGTGCCTTACGAAAACGCAACATTCTTGTCAATGAAGAAGCCTTAGGCGATAGACGCACTACTTCGTGTCGAGTAGATGAGACAGTTTTTTAAGGAGTTCAAGTAGAAAAACCAGTATTTATATCAAGCTGTCATACCATGTGCTTCCCGGCAACTTCCGCAAGGGACGATCGTTGACGGAACGTACTACTATCAACGGTTATAAATTTCGCGTCAGAGTCAAGTATTTTCGCACGATGCTATTCACAAATACACGAACGTATAAAGAGCGTTTCAAACTCACCCCTGTCAAACTTTTTGCCCTCTGGATCGATGTCTTTCACGTTGAAAATATCCTCGAACAGCACGCCCGCCATTTTAGACACTCCTAACGGTGCTGCCACCTCGTGGCAAACGTTAACTTTATGCTTCTCGAGAACGTAATTTCAGATCGCCGATTCTGAAATATAGGTTAATGGTTGGAATAAATTAATTTAAGATTCGTGAAATATAAAAATTACACCTAACCCAAAAACCTATTAAAATTCCATTCTGCGAACCTTATTCTCTTATAGCTTTCGGGATATCATTCGTTTATTTTGTATCCGATATTTTAAAATATAATTGTGAAAATGTTAAGTAACTTTATTTATCCCGAATATTCAGAATTTCGACTTTACATAGTTTACCAACGAGATACAGATTTGTGAAATGTGTTACGCGATATGATAAATATTTTGGAACGATGTGGATATGTGTCCTTTCGATATATTGATAAACGAATCATGATAGCGAACGTTAAAACGACCCTTTTTTCCATTTATAACGAAACACCAATACAATTAGGAAGTAATGATGTTTATTAGATTGAAGACTGAGATTACCTTGAAATCTTGTCTGACTGAGAAGTGGACAGAGGGAAACACTGTACAGGCTCCAAGTTTTTACGCAGCACAATTATCCTTTTAGGCGGATCGAGAGGTCCTATCGTGATATACGTATACAAATAAGTCGCGGCATAATGACGTTTATATTGTTATTAATGCGTTACGTAATATTAGGGAATAGTAATGTTGCACAAGGAATTTGCGTAATGATACTACTAAACTGATCGAACGAACATGTGCGACATCTTAATATTACTTAATCGTACACATTGCTCTACGTAACGGTATTCTGGTTGATAAAATAAAGAGAGTGTTATTGTATTTCTAGTTTGGTTCAGTGTTGGTATAGTTCATTAGCTTAGATTCCGCTTTGCAAATATTATGGACACACGAATGGTATCGACACTGTACTGATGTAAAAATCAATGTAAACATAGTGATGCAATATGGGAGATAAATCCATGTACTTTAAAAATAAAAAACAAACAAAAGTAAAACTCGGTAAAAGTGGCGCCATCAGTGGCAAAACGCCCAAGTTTGTAGTGAAAAAAGTTCCTCTCTGTCCTACGAGATGGCGCTACTAATTAACGGGTCGATAATAAATATAATTAAATAATTATTCATAAAAATGATAAATTTAACACACTAAACAATGTATTGGAGTGTTATAAAACAAACGATCGCATTAATTATGTATTTATGAAAAAAAAAATTCATAATTCAATGGCATCAGTGACGACATCTAGCAGGAACAGAGGGAACTATTTTTACTAGAAACTTGAGCGTTTCGCCACCGATGGCGCTACTAGCCTATTATATTATAGTAATTTATAATACAAAATTATTGCACTACTATTTACTTATTGTCCTCTTCTAGCTCGAGTACCTCGGGGTTGCTAAGCCCGTACTGTAGCTACAAACACCGCTACAGCCTCTGAGGGCCTTTTCATTAATAAAATATTATAAATAGTATATACTATATACCATATGTCTATATACTATATAGATATACCTATGAAAAATTAGTTCGACCTATTGGCCGCTAGATGCTAAAGAATTTTCTGCCCCATAAAATTGCAGACATTTACAACATAACCTAACCAATGAACTATATCAATACCGAATCATACTAAAGTTTATATAGTATCTTGTTCATCTAACAATTTCCGTTATTTAACATGAGTGACGATGAAGATTTGCTTCTTAACGAAGACAAAGATCAAGTAAGTTCCCAAGAAAAATACTTTAGTTTCATATTTTGATAACATGACGTGTTTAGGGGGAGTGTATTGTTTACGAGTTATGTTTACGTTTAAAACGATCGAACGCATGTGAAAATTATCTAGATATTAATGATTAAACTGTCGTTATGTTGTAGGATCAAATCAGGACGGAGCTTTCCCAGATGAGTTTCGAAGATTTGCAGAAACTTAAAGAGAAGTTGGGAACTAAAGTCTATAACGAAGCATTGTTCGGTTCGCGTAAAGTTAGAAAAGTCGATTTCAAACGAGAAAATAAGAACAGACCCCGGGAAATGTCTGCGAAGAAGCCTGTGTCTCGATTTAGGGAAATTGTACAAATAAAAAAATACATACCAAGAGATCCCAGGTTCGACGGTCTCTGCGGTACGTTTGATCAAAAGGAGTTTAAAAAGGCTTACGGATTTCTCACCGACGTGAAGAAGAATGATTTACAAAAATTGAAGAAACAATTAACGGAAACAGAGGATCCAAAAGTAATAAAGAAGATTAAATATCTCATTCAACGATTGGAAAATCAATTACGTGAAGAGCAGAGGCGAGATCACCAAGAGGAAAAGAAGAATCAAGACAAGACAGAGATAGTAGAAGCCATTAAACGGGGTGAAAAGCCTGTTTTCAAAAAGAAGAGTAAGTATTTATAAACAAGTATCGTTTGCAAGTTGAAATATTAAAGTATGTTTATCGTAATGCGACACATCTTTTGCTTTACAGGTGAGAGAAAAGTTTTGGACTTAGTTTCTCGATACGAGGAGCTGAAAACTTCGGGTAAATTGAAGAAGCACATTCAAAGGTTGCGCAAGAAGAATCTACACAAGGACCGACAGAAACTAGCGTCATCGGAAATCGATTGAAAACAACAACGAACTATACGTGAAATTAAAATTTATATGAATAAATTCTAACTGTAATTATTATAAGGTGTACATAAGCGTAATAAATACTACTTGGACAGTTAAACTAAGCTTCTTTTCTTTCGCTCGACTTCGATATTCACCTTACATTATGTTTGCGTACCGTGGAAGTACCGAACGGATAGGTAGAATAAAGAGGTCTTTATTAATTATGTATTTTTTATTTAACATCAAAAGTAATGACACTTGGGTTGGACAATGTCTCTCGTTTCTTCCTTAATGTATTTCACGTGTGAAAACAGAACTTACAGAATAATCAATATGAAAGGAATCGTCAATCAGAAGAGATAGTTGGTAGAGCGGTGTACGTTTTTATCTCTGAGCGTGTGTGTTTATACGTGTGTTTCTCTATATGTCGCACGTGTTCTTCGGAGCGCGTGACCGCGTGTGTGTGTGTGTGTGTGTGTCTGCCTGTGTGTATGTACGCGTGTAGAGTGTATTATGCGGCGCTAAAACGAAGAACAGAAAAAAGAGTACAGGGGACCCGTACGCAAAAGGCGATCCCCTTTAAGCGGAGCGCCTTCTCGTGGGTCACCATTCACGCGCGATCTGTTTGTCCGTCTTCAATTATTTAAAATATGTACAATATTAATAAAACATCATTCATTATTTTTTTTTTTTGTTTGTTTGTTTATATTTTAATCATTCAATGATTCTGTCGTGGTGTGGCGGGCTGTGCAGGGGCGACGTTCCACGGAATTCTCGTGACCACCCGTTGTCTCTTTCGTTTCCCAACCGAATATGTTCGATTTCTTCCATAATTCTTTCTCGTTTTATCGATTTCTCTCTCTTTCTTTTTTTTTTTCGTACATCGCCAATTGAGTTTCGATCGCGGTCAAACGAAAAGGCGAAGGACCCGTATGAAAGCACTCGTTCTCTCGCCCACATTCACGCGTTAGTTACTTTTTTTTTCTACGGCTCGTGCACGCCTATTCACCCCGGGGGAAAAAAATCGGTTCGCGATACCAAAGGCGGGACGAAACTTCATTCGAACGAATCGATCGAGAGCTGCCCGTTTTTTGTTTCTTGTTCGAAAATTTCTATCCAGATAAGAAGATTTTCCGTTTAAGACACCTTTTATCTAGATGAGAAACTTGTCAACAAGAAATCTGAACCCCGGTATCGGCGACCGAGATTCGCTCGTTTGCAGAACACGAAGAGATTTGCGACTCGCGGTGCCGAGAGGTTAGTCTTCGAGGCTGAAACTAAGGATGTCCCTTTACAATACGACGAAAATACGTGATATATTAATTAAAATCTGACCTTTTCAGCAATCATACATATACAATAAATACTGGGAACTCCCTAACGACGAGTTAGGTTGAAAGTTCAACCATAATAATTTTTAACGAGTCCCCGGATAAGAGGAAAACCGATAACAGATGCGCGAAATGGAATCCGTCCGATAAAAAGGAAATAGAGAAAAGAAAGAAAACGCTGTGTGTAAGAAAAGGGGGCCGATAGTTCGTTCCACGAGACGAAGCGAATCCAAACAAAGCCACGTTACTCCGAACACAGCCATGTTGTTAAGAGGACACTCCTCGAATACGTACAAATACAATAGAATTTATACAAGTCGCTATTTCTGTATGAAATAGCATTGAAAAAATATATAAAGATATCGAATACAACGATGAAAAATAAAAGTATACCGATCCACCGTCGGACCTATGATCAGAGATGGGCAACATTTTGTTTCCGTTAAAGATCCACGACCAATAAAAGCGACCTACGTTTATCGATCACGCGACTCTTGATGCGAGTTGCACGTCGCGTCGAAGGTCCTAAGTGAAGTTGCTACCCGAAAAAAAAAAAAAAAAATATACATATATATATATATATATCGATCACGTACGAAAGCAAAAAGCGGATTTTCCCGTCAGTGTCCCGCTCAGTCCGCCGCAGATTTATGGTCTTAGACCGAAAATTTCCTCTCCCCGCCACTTTTCTTCGTTTCTTTACTCTCGCTCGCTCTCGCACTCTCTCTCTCTCTCTCTCTCTCGCTCTCTCTCTCGCTCTCTCTTTCGTCGTCGTACTTCGTATCTTTTTTTTTTTTGTTCGCTTATACGTACTTTGTTTTTTTTTTTTTCTTCAACAACACGATCTAGACTAAACCATATATAATAATTACATCTAATAATATCTTATTGTAACATGTATTACATTATAATTATTATTATTATTATATTATTAATGTTTAAATTATTAGCCTAAAGTAAAGAGGCGCACGACGGCAAAGCATTTTTTTTGGGCTCCTACGCCCCCCGGGCACGGAACACCCTGTCGACAAACCACGGATCCTTCAATCCCAGCTCCCGGAGCACCGGATTGCGAGCCGTTTCACGATTCGCGAACTGCCCCCATCCCTTCCCTTCCCCACCCCGTTTCTCATTCGTTTTTCCCAATTCTATTCGAGCCACGTCGTCCTGATCTCGAAACACAGGGATCCACCGGAGCCGTTCTCCACCTTTGCGAATTACCACGCACTCTTTAACGTTCGACTCTCGTTGCGACAGGAACGATCGGATCTTTGAACGCGCGCGGGAGACAACCTCGCACAGTCCCAGTTTACGCGAAGAAAGAGGAGAAGAACAGTTTCTTTCAAAAATCAATCGAACGAACGCGATGAAAGGAAAAGCTAGAAAATTATCGAACGATCAAAGAATTCACGAATTTACAATGTTTACGCTCATGCCTTGACAGTAATTTGTTCGGCGACGTTACGTAACAACGATACACATTACTTTCAACTTGAAACCTTAGGTTACGTTTATTTATCTTTAATTTGTGTTATCAGTTAGAATGGGGCGCCACGATCGAAAGTTACACAGAGAGGCGCTTGTAACATCGGCGCTAGCCTTGCACCGAACACCCTAGCACCGTGATAGAATCGATTTCAAGTTCACGCCGCCGTTTCTTCTTCATCGAGAAACAAATCACCGGGGACGTGTATTATACGCGATCGTAGTTTGTTCACCGTTCGTCGGGGGGGGGGGTCTGATCCGCGTCCGAGTTCGACGAGCAACGCGACTGGTACCGCCGCCGTCCTCTGTCCGTTTCTTTTCCGCACTCACGCGTTTCCCTCGTAAAGACGTTATCGGTCTGGATCCGAATGGCGATCCACGTGTCTCGAAAGCGATTCGAATGTCGTTCGCCGAACCGATCGGGTCCCCCGCTCGAGTTGACCGTTTCGACGCGGCCAGCCCATCGCGCGCACAACAGAGAAAATTCATTCGGAAGGGCTGGACGGAGGAAACTCGCAACCCGAACAGAGATCGAGGCTCGATGGGATCGGCGAAGGCAGAACGTGTTTACGCGTGCACTGCACCTCGAGAACACCTCGATTATTTTGAACACTTAGGGTAGTTTTGGGGCCAGGGTCGCCGAGCGAGCGTCACCCTCGTCTACCTAGATCTTTGACGGTCCGCCTCGATTCCCGTGGGAAAACAAAGGGAACCGAAGATCGAACCGTTCGACTGGAACAGCCGGGCTGCTTTAGTCCGTTGACGAGCGATTCGAAATCTGCGCTCCCGCTTATCGTTCTTCACGGGAAACGAACCACCTTATATCCTTTACCGACGTAGCTAGCGCACGCACAAGAAGCGGTGAAAGCTGGTAACCAGGTTTAAAACGCATATAGGGACAAAGTAAGACGAGAACGATACAACTGATAGAGTACGTGTCACACTTAGAGAAGCACGAGAAACAAGACCACGACTTGTTTTTTTTTTGTTTTTTTTTTTTTTTGTTTTTTTAGATGGCACGTCTACTCGTAACGTCCCGGCCCGAAAAGTCGCGTGGCAGGCATTTTAAGTCACCTTCGTTCGTATTTTTTTTTGTCTTTTTTTTGCGTCTTTTTTTTTCTTCGCTTTTTTTTTCTTTTGGTTTGTTTTCTGTTGCTCCTAAAAAAATTCGAAGGGGCGTTGTATCGACACTCGACAGACACACATGCATACACGCACGACAGACCGCGGGGTTGGTGGTACAGGGCGTTCTGCGTTCGGGGGTCAATGATTTATAGCGAGCTGTCCCGCTGGGCGTTGTTTTAAACCTATGAAAAACTAAGAGAATGAATTTATACCTTTTTTTTCCTTTACTTTTTTTAATTTCGCCTAAGTAAGAATGTTTTTTTTTTTTTCTGTTTCCTTTCTCTCCCGCACCTCCGTCCGTCATTGATAATCCCCTCGTTCCGTTGCTCTCCCCTAAACGCTGTTTATCGTTCTCTACTAGCAATTTTTTTTTTTTTTTTTTTATATCCTGTTACCTCGACTATCGTGGCGCCCTCGAAACCCCGGAAACAGACGCTGATCCCGAGGAAGGGCGTTACTTTAAACTCTTGTTTCTCTATTTAGCTCGTTTGCGTATTTTTCATATTTTTTTTTATCTTTTTTTTTTAAATAACATTATCATACTTCATTTGTCCGGTCTCAAGTCGGCGAGAGAATCGCGTCTCCCCACCGCTTCGTTATCAGCACGCGGTAATTAAATAACGTATATCTCCGTTCTTTTGTTTCTTTATTAGTATCTTACTCCATACTCGTCAGGTGGTAGTGATTCGATTGATAGTTATTTATTATACTGTCCGTTTGCCACTGCAGCATCCCGTGCTCCCGCGCGTTCAGCTTCCTCTGTTGAAATCTCTTCGCGAAACCGAAGCGTACGCACCCCCTACGTTCGAACCGATATCGTCGACGATCCTCTGTCGTTCTCCATCACTCCTGTCATCATCGTCCGTTCCTGGCCCGTTCTCGAACGACGTTACTCGCAATCGGAACAATTAATGACTACTGCGAACGCGCGTCTCTTACACCTGCGTGTGATCTCCGTTATTCGACTGCTTTTGGTTTTTGTTTCGTTTGAGTGTCGTAAGCTCCTCGTCCCTCTCGTCGTGGATAATCTCTAGGGCGTGCCAATCTAACGTACTCGCTTCTTGGTTAATTAATTATCGGTTAATCGTCTACTCGAGACTCTTGGTTGTCACGAGACGTCTCCGTCCGGTAGCACGGATACTCGGTTACTCCTTACTTTCCATCTAGTGTTTGCATCTTCAGCGTCTCTCTATTGTTTGCTCTGTTTTAAAACTTTTATAACAAGCACGTGGCAATCTAGCGCAGTGATCTTTTGTTTTGTTTAGATATTTAACACAGGGATGCCTATGAATAGTTGTCGATATCACAAGATGTCTAAATGATCCTGAAACGATCTTATCGTGTACACCCGTCGACGTTCATACGGACGTGCGCGTTATCCGTCGATCTGTCGGCCATCCTCGTCGCCATCCTCGCCCAAAGGTTCGCGGGTGCCCTTCGCTCGAATGTACCATCCCGATATACCCTCTGTTCGCGTATTCGTTTAGGCCCTTGCTCTTCGCTCGATCGGTCCAGCTCTGGTTTCCGTTTGAAAATGCGATGGCAGCACCGACACACCTACGACCTTCGGATAGCATATCGGGCGTGTACCCGGAAGCTTCGGAAGCTTCTCGACTGACGTTGCTCGTAGTACCCCTGTTCGTCGATCATTTCGATGTTTCTCGAACGACGGCCATATTGGTAACGATACACCGGCACGCGCGTGCAAGCAACTCGCAGAGTCAGAACGACGAACGTGCTTCGTTACATCGTAATGCCTTTTGTATCGTTTTTTCTTTTACAGGTTTTTCATTGTTTTCATCTGTATCACCTTCCCGCCTACGAGGAGGGAAAGCATCTCTCTCTCTCTCTTTTTTTTTTTTTGTACACATTGTTAACCTCGACCGGTCGTGCACGACGCACTCCGCATCCCGGATCGATCCTCGATCCGTTCGACGGATGCGAACATACTTCGTCCACCGTCCGGCATAGTCCCCAATGATTAATCTCGTGATCTTGCGACAGTACGGATAGACCCGAATAGCACGCCCCGTGTAAAATGTATATGTGTTTCTTTAACGTGAGTGATTTTTTACCTTCTTGGCTTCATCATCTTCTTCTTCTTCTTCATTTTTTTTTTTTTTTTTTTGGTTTCTTTTGATAATTATTATTAATTAGTATTATTATTATTATTTTCGGTGTATATTTTGCGTGGGTATGCGTCTCATTCTCTCTCTCATCATTCTCTCTGCTACTCTCGCTCTTACTCTTGCGCGCGCGCTCTGCGTGTATGATTAATTCTCCTTTTTGCGTCTAATAGTAAGTTTCTTGCTCGAGCCAGCCTCCTGGATATCGACGGAGGTAGAATCGTCTCGTCTCGTCGTAGATGAAGATGGCGAACATGAAGGGAAGGGCAGGCAGCCACCAGACGAACCTGAAACAGGCGAGAGCGTCGTGATCGTACGCGAATTTCGTCCAAATTTCTATGGCGAACTTCACGGGCGCTCGTTCTCCAGTGTTAAACGATACGAGAATGTCGTACTTACTTGAGAGGGAACATGCGGAGACCTTTGTCCATGCCGGGCGTGTAGCTTAGGAACGCGGCGAGGGCAGTCTCGAACACCAGGCCAAAGTTCAGGGCCCAGTTTCTCATTCCCTGGTGAATGATGGAGTTACGTCGCGTCTTACAGACGATCAAGTCAGCCCACTGTACGATCACGATGGAGACGAAGAAGGCCGTGTGGCAGGTGAATTCCAGTGTCTTGCGATCCCTGTATGTCTGCGCGGGAAGAAATAAACATGTAACGGGTCGGAACGTAAGCGTGGTTCGTTTCTTTACGACAAGGAGCTTACCCATTCCTGACCGTAGCTGTCGCGTAGATCGTTGATAGCCTTCGAGTCCCACTGTTTTCGGATACCGAAAAGATACAGGGGCAGGAATCCGTTTTCAGCCATGATCACGAAGTAGACGAAGAAACCGGCCGCAGCTTGGATCATACCGATCTGACCGTACGCCATCGAAATAAGCCTAGACATAGAGAATCGCGTTAGACGTGCTCCCTCGTCCACGGCAGTGGGCGTTGCGGTTAAACTCCGACATTCAAAGAACTCTTTCGAACCTCGCGGACCACCGAACCGTAAACGTACAAGATCCAGCGATCGGTGCTTCGAACCGACGACTTCTACTTCGGATTCGAGTAACGGAATCGTTGGTTGTTTATACGTCTGTATCGCGAGCGAACCATCGCCTTATTGGCCTCAATTCGAGATAACCGTCTGGTGTCAATTTTGTCGCTCGGAAGCGAGAAGCACCGCATCCCCCGTTCGGTCGGCGAGCCGCGTTCGAGGTTCTTTGAAAGCCAGATGAAAAGCTTTCGTGTACGCTAAGTTCGCTTGTAGTAGCCTAAGGTGGTGTTAATACGGAAGCCGTAGTCGAATTAGGATTAAATGCAGATTACTTACCGGATCGGAACGCAGACGGTAACGATCGGTTTATCTTCGCGTCGAGGCATGCCACACGAAAGCACAAGGCCCACACACATTTATAAATATATATGCTGTTCGTCGAGCCTCGCGGTGCACCACTCTTTTCATCGAGGATCGGTCATTCCGCGTGCGGAAATCGCTCCGTCGAACCGCGAGGACTCGACGAGGCCAGCCGACACAGAGAAGCAACCCAATATCTTTTCAAGCATCGTGGACGCTGGTTGTCTCGGAGCTGGTCCTGTTCTTTCCGTGGCGTATACGATTTCTGACTACTTAGGGATGCTGTACCGGATAGAGAATACCGTCTAATCAGAGTTGTAAAGTAACGATCGCTTTTGTGTCAATTACAATTTCGAGTAATTACTTTTGAATTAGAAAATAGTTAAGAATACCCGAGAGTAACTAAGAAGTACTTACAACTACTTTTTCAATGTTCAAACTACTTTCGAGTAATTGGAGTTACATGGACAGTAATTGTTAAAAGTAATAATTACCGTAGTCCAATTACTTTTAATTACGTTTCATTACTTTCAACTACTTTTGTCCGCCAACATCGGTGGCAAAACTAGTTAAAATTAATTACGAGTAATTGGGAGACAGTTATCGTTACTTTTAACGATTACCGTCCATGTAACTGCAATTACTTGAAAGTAATTGAAAAAGTAGTTATTACCTTTAATTACCTATTAATTATTTTCTGGGCAGTTATAAGTAGTTATTAAAAAGTAATCAGATCACTGGTAGCAGTTAAGTAATTGCAAATACCATCCGACGGGGTAATTTTAATGGCAATTATTTGATTAGTTGGTCAAAGTAATCACTGCGTAATAATAATTAAAAATTTACAGCTCCGCGTCTAGTACACTCAGGGAAGCTAATTTTTCAACTCTCGCAAGCCTCCGGAAGGTTCGGAGTCGAGCCAAGAGCTTCCCGCGCACCATTTCCGACAGGATCAGCTCCTCGACGACCATTCGCATGCGTTTGGAAGCCGCGGTGTCGCGCAACAGTCAATTAGCTCGTCAGGCGTTAGATCAAATCAAAGAGATTGCAGGCAGAGACACATCATATCTCGACAGGTCAGCGGTGGAAGGCGCGCGTGGTTCGTCGCAACCAAGGTGGACGGGTGGAAAAAAATTGAGCGATCGGTAGGCACGTGTTATCGATCGGCTCGACGACTGAGTTAACCAAGCGGAGTAATTAACAAACCGATAATCCCGTTCGTACAACGTGGTTCCCGCGGGGAAATTGAGAATCGTTAATTGCTGGAACGCTGCGTCAGGCCGTGCACACCGTGCGTCGAGTACTCGAAGAAGCGGTTTGGCTCTCGCTTTCTCGAACGTTCTCTAACTCTTTTTCTATGTTAGTTTCTTTTCTGTTAGTTTTCTTCCGTTTGCGTACCCGGGCTCTCTAAAGTTTTACCGTTGGACACGCGTGAACGGTTCAAGCTGCACGTCCGTAGACGCAGGCGCGCGATCGTTGGTTAGTCGCTCCAGAGATTCTAGGTTTCTATGTGTGGCTAAAGCATTCGGCATTCCCAGCACCGCGAAGCCGTACTTCCACCTAAAAACGACCGGGACTACCACGTGATCATCGTGCAAGCTGACGCGCGATCGCGTCTGTCGATTCGTCGATTGCTCGAGAGTCGTAGCTACTTCTTATCATGTTGTAGTCGCGTCGAATTAGATGGTAGGGCGGCTTGACGTTCCTCCGAGGTACAGCTCGACGATTTAGAAAAGATTCCCAAGGTGTGAGGACGGGTTGTATTTTTAATCGATCCGCGTGTCGCTCAATTATCATCAAGTCGTCCCACAAATGCACAGACCGGGTTATGTCGGTGAGACAATTTCATGCAACGGTGAAACTTTATGGTTTTTTGAAACTTTCACCATAGCAATTCTGACCATTTTTCCGATTGAACGTGCATTGAATTGTCTCACCGAGTAATTCGATCTCAGATCATGTTTACGCTGCTCGACGATCGAACTCCCGGGCCCCTCGAGAGGTATACCCCACAGTGGCGGGGCTGGTTTCTGTGCATTTTTGAAGACTTTACTGTAACGCATAAAACGTACCCTTAAGTGCCATAGAACAAGACAATCTTTCCTGTTTTACAATATTTTCCTAACCTTCTGACCATAGTCATTGTACTATATCTACTACATAGTCTATATCTTTTTTTTTGTTAAATATTGACCTAATATACTTTTCTCGTTGCCCGTCCAACCATGTTCAGGCTACGCCCTCGAGCTATCGTTTCCCAAGACGTCGAGCTGTACACACTGTGCTATACTGATCAACTAGTTCTTCTAGAGACGTGTTTTCTGACTCGTTGGCGTAGAGTGTCAACCGAGAACTGCTGTTTTCGACGACGTCGCAACGACGAAACTCTGTGGGTGATACGACGGCAATGTACCGGTTGATACCACCGGAGATTTCGCGTCGCTGTCGAGAAACTTTCGTTAATTCCCGTTAATTTCTCGTCGTTTTCTCGTCTGTACCGAGCCGACTGCGATTTCTAACATCGTTTATTTCTTTTCTCTCGCCGAGGGACTCTCTCTTTTTCATTTCTCTTTCTTTTGCTTCCCA